ATCTATTTATAGATTCACAGTCAGTTCCAAATTGCCAGCTGATGAAAGTCACATTTTTTTCTAGTAGGAATGATACAATCCATGGGTTTTCCAATTGTATATGGCAAAAACTAAATTTCCTGTGAATGGATACCATGGTACACAAAAGGAGTAAAGCAAGAGCACTGTATGAAGAAGTTAACAGCCTACAATACTTCAGTTTAACCATCAGATAGGCATATTTTCCGTTGGCTAATCAGGCCCCTTGCAGCTTGAGGACATGCTACAGAACCAGATAAATTTGTCCCTCTGGGTGATTACTGGATGATACAGGTCAGTTAGTTCTGGGTGGCCTGGTAAGAACTCAGAGACCACAAGAGCCTCATAAACTGTTTGAGGTGAAGGGGGAAATGATTCACTATTCCCACAGTGAAAGAGAAACAAAGCCAACGTGCAGTCTGGTCGCTTCTGCCCTTATTAAGGCCCCCGAAGTGGAGATTAACAAGCGTTTTGGGAACCAAAGAGCCGGCGCTGGAAGAAAGACATGTGAAGCAAAAACATAGGGGAGATCTCCCCGTCGCATTTCAACAAAAACTGCGTTGGAAGCGTAGGTTATGGAAGAATGAGGCTGCTTAAGGTCTCCCTCCTCACCGACCATAGGGGAAAGATACCAAACTGCCTGCCAGAATCGCCCAGTGCTGGAAGGAGAGGGGTGGGGTGGGTAAGACGAGGAGAAAGAGGAAAAAACGACGGGATGAAAGACTTTTTTGCTTCACCACCCTTGTTTAAAAAGCACAGCCATCAACAGCAGATGTCTGCTGTTCTATAAGCACGAAAGATCAGATGATGTTTATGAAACTTGTCTTTTAAAGTTCTGAGTTATATGACGCAAGGGCTGTTATACCACACAGCTATTCATCGAATCACCCTGCAGAGAAGTGGGCACTTTGTAGCACAGCCTCTTCTTTCTGAGCCTGTTGCAAAAGAAGCCTCAGTGACATTCCTCGAGGAAGGGAGAACCTCAGACAAGACTCTCTAAAGAAACTCCAACAAAGGCCAAAGGCATCACCAGATCATCTCAACTTCTTTCCTCGGCCCAATTTGGCGCAGCTGATTCCCGTGTAACGGAAAAGCGATGACCGCGGGTGATGTACCTGCCGTAACCCAGTTCAAAGTCCGCCAACGCTCTCTCAGAACTCCGGACTGTGGCCACGCTTCCCATCTCGAAATCCATCTCAGCCTGGGGAGAAACCACAGCCTCAGGTCCATGTGCACCCGCCCCAGCTCGGGGAGGTAAATCAGCCTCCCCGCAGCACCCCCGTGGGGTCAGAGCTGGTGCGCAGGTCGCTGTGTCCCGGGACTCCGCGTGGAGGTCGCGCTGCCCCCGCCCGGCGCCCGCCGTCCCCGGAGTCGCCC